TCTTTTTCTTACTGAGATATAACTTTCCAAAATATATATTAGTCATTTATGTAATTAAAATACAAATATATAAATATATATAATATTTCGGTAATAAAACCGAGTACATATATAAATATATATTTATTTAATTACTAACTAATATTATTTTGAACAATATATTTATCAACAACCTTATTCAACTTAGAAATAATATTTCCAAGTTTAATAAAGTTCATTTTGAATTTTCCATATTTATTTTCGGTTTTCACCTAAATAAATACAATAAATTCAAAATAGGAAATAATGCATTCAAAAATTACAATATAATTTTATCAATCATAAAATGATGTTTTATGTCCAAATAAAATTATATTTACTATTTCTACAATATATATAAATATATATTTCGAAAAATCAAAATATATATATTTATATATATATTACGTGTAGAATTAAAACAAATAAATTTAAAATTCATTTTCAATGATTTATTTAAGTCCAATAATTATTCCAAGACTAAATAAAATCATTTTACCAATTTTTGAATTTTCATAATTACCAAGTTAAAACTTTGACTTTTAAAATTTTAAAAGTCAAACGTAAAACTATAGTTTTGTACGTTGGCTCCGATACCACTGAAAGGTAACCATGCAAGGACAGGCAGCGGGATATAAAAATTTTAACATCCTAACATGATTATCTTGCCCAGAATCACGTACTAAAACTTATAGTGCGTAAGAAATTTATACCTTTCTCCGTAAGCGGTAAAAACGAAGAAGTCGTAGGAAGAGCGTTGAAAGTTCAAACGTAACCGTTCAAGCGTCTGGTCTCCAACTTTGACACACGAACAACGCCGGAGTCTACCACAATCTTTATGCTAGTAAAGATTATAGTAGTATAAAATATAAAGATTAAAATATGGGATAATAATAATCTTGTATATTTCTATAGAAAATATTTCTAATAATATTTAGAAAATATTATAAATATTTTCTATACACAAAATGATATTAATGGAACACAAAATAAATTTTCTCTCACTAAAATGAAGTGGCCGAAAATTCCCTTGGACCAAATTGATGAATGTGGTCTATCTTTTTCAAGTGAGAAAGTGGGTATAATAATGGAATTTAATTATGCATAAAATGAAAAATTAACAAATCAATTACAAATCACTAATTTATCAATCAAGTAAGTTAATACCAATTTGTCAACCTCGAAATCCATATGGCCGAAAGATTTATTTGACAAAGTGAGAAGGATTTTCAAAATTCTTCTCCACTTAAATGTTCAAAGTGTATTTTATTTGACACCAAAAATTAATATAAAAATTAATTTTAAATCAAATAAAACACCCATATCATTTTTAAACAAGTATACAAATATACTTTAAATAGTTTATGTCAAGATAATTGTTTTCATAATTAAAATGACAAACCAAAATAAAATATTCAACATATAATATATATATATATATATATATATATATATATATATATATATATATATATAATCGGCACATATATATATAATGAATATTTATATATATAATATTATATTCCAAAATATTTTATTTTACTATTTTACAAATATACAAATTACTTATTATCCCATTGTTTAATCCTACTCCTTAAACTGTCCAAAGTGTGTGACCCGTATAGGCACTTATAAAACTGGCCAGAGTATTGGCTCTGCACCAATACTATAAGCAATAAGCGGTATCTATGTCTCCGTGTAACTGTATCCCTTTGTCTCAATGTCTAAACTTAATGCAAGGGATTAATAAAATCCAACTTGTATCCATTAAGTCATTAACTGATTTATCAAGTCTGACTAATAGGAACAGACGTCATAAAAGCATCTCAGCATGGCCATGCAATTTCCTTAGTCATAACTTATCAGTGGGCCCCATAAGACATTAATCTCTTTAAAAAGAGTAGTGACAAATCCTATGTACGTAATCTACGTTTCTGAATACGCGCTGCGGCACACCCAAAACAAAGCCTGTATACCATCCTTATTTCATATGGCTTAGGACAATGCATCAAAGCATGCGGGTTCACATATGCAGAAAACGTAATACTTCAAGTCAAAGGATAGTTACACCCGTGGTCGCGCTAAAGATGCTTAGAGCATGAACTAAAAGTTCAAGCAACATCTTTAGGATGGGTCCGTCCGGCATCCTATTATCTCTAGATAATATCTGCCCATGTGCGGATGCGAACACACCGTCATTGACTATGAGACTAAGTCAAACATCCAACACACACTAGTCTCACATGCACTAACGATATCTCACTCTCGTTAATACTCGACTATGGACATTTATTAGATAAATATTTATTTCAAGATGTTAGTCTCATCAGCAGAATAACACTAACTGATAAACATCTTTTAAATATAAATCTAGGAATATAATATTTGTTTACATTAGCACGAGATGTGTAAACATATTATATCTGCCTATACATGATAGGATAACGATGAACAGTTGGCCATCAGGGCACAACTCCAACAGAGTGAAACCCATGATGGAGCCATTTTTCGAAGTTATGAATTGTGTTTTCTTCTCCAGAAGATTGGCAAAGATAGGTGTATATATATATATATATATATATATATATATATATATATATATATATATATATATATATATACGTATATACATATAAACATATACATAGGGCATCGTCGGTTTGCTGTTCAGAGTGCAATAATCACCATAAGAGTGGATGAATAAGTCGTCATCCTCTCACAATCCCGTCAATGTGTGACCCACTCCACAGGGGATGTCTCATTAAAAACTTGCTGAGGAAAAAACCCATGAGGATGGGAAAAAATCCTCGGTCAAGAAAATAGTACATCTCGTCCCATAGAGTGGATCTAGAAAACATTGCTAGGGGGTGAGGTCTTCTGTGTGAATCTCAAAAGAGGTGATCTTCAAGTCCCCCAGACTCGTTGTCCGGAGTCGATGGCTGTTAGAGTGGATCCAGAAAACATTGCTAGGGGGTGAGGTCTTCTGTGTGAATCTCAAAAGAGGTGATCTTCAAGTCCCCCAGACTCGTTGTCCGGAGTCGATGGCTGTTCGACATAATACATTGCCGGCGAGTGCATGCTGACTCGGGCTACTGCGGTTTGATACAAGGTCGGGATGTCGCTCGCCGACCTCTCCTGATGTGAGATGTAACATTCACGAGCCGAGCACCCGGAGTCCCCCACTCCCTAAGCCGAAGAAGAATTCCGATGTGAAGGGGAGTAGTGTCCATGCTTGGCTCCAGTGGGATTCTTTGGCCCCTTCACGAGATAGCCGAGCTCGCGTGGATGAGGCCGAGCTCGAGTTGATGAGGTCGAGCTCGAGTGGATGAGGCCGAGCTCGAGTTGATGAGGCCGAGCTTGAGTGGATGAGGCCGAGCTCGAGTGGATGAGGCCGAGCTCGAGTGGGTGAGGCCGAGCTCGAGTGCCCCACGAGGTGGTTGAGGCCAAGCTCGAGTGCCTCAAGCAGCAGCTGAGGCCGAGCCTGGCTTTTTCATCCTTCTAACCTGCAAAACAAATTCAAAAAAGAACACAAGGCGCTCGCGGGCTCGGATGGACCGATCACCACACGGTCGAGAAAAGTAAGTCAACGTATGAGTTAGGTCCAAAGTTTTGGACAAAAGATAGGCCAGATCAACGGAGTGCGCCAATCGTGTAGTACTCTGGTCTAGAACAAACTTTAACGTCATCCTTAGTGAGACCGGGGTCTTCAAATGAGATCTGCTCGGGTAAGTGAGATAGGCACAAATGGTGCACCCCTCGCCTTAGATCCGAGAGCAAAATAGTTCACGTCGTGGAAGACGGATATATAGGAGTGCGTCGAGATGGACGGCTTACCTCGGCCTCGCGAATAGTATCGTCGCGGACGATTTGGAGTGCCTCGCGGGGAGGGCTTACCTCAGCCTCGTAGAAGAGGAAACAAAATCACGTCGTGGGAGACGGATGGGAGTGCGTCTCGGTGGACGTCTTACCTCGGCCTCGTGGAAGAGGAAATGAGATCGCGTCGTGGAAGACGGATGTATAGGAGTGCGTCAAGATGGACGACTTACCTCGGCCTCGCGATAATATCATCGCGGACGATCTTCAACGCCTCGTGAGGAGGTTTACCCAGCCTCGCTAAGGGATGACTAAATGAGTTGGATCTGAGCCATGCCCTAAGGTAGGTCGCTGGCCTGTGTGTGGTGCTTCACGCTCGTCCCACATCAGGGCTTAAAGTGTTGAACACAAAGTGTAATACCATCGTCCAAGTGAGGTCCGATCACATGTGGTGGACAAAGTAATAGTAATAATAATGGAGTAAATGATAGGAATTACCATATTGATAATATGGTAAAATATAATAATAAATATAATAATAATAATAAAATACGGAATAGTGAAAAATGTGTGTAAGAAGACTTATCTTTTGGGATTTCCAGGACCCACATGTGGATAATAAACCCACTTGCCCATCTTTTCTCCTTTACAGACGGGAAATAAGTACGTCCATCCCTGTTATGATGTGGAGTAGTATAGGCTTCTTTTTTATAATATTGCCGACAGATTGACAGGAGCAACAGTCTTGCGCATCAAAAGTCCCACGCATCCAGGACCGGCGTTGACGTCTACAGGGTAGGCCAGCACACCGAGAATCCATGACCGGAGGGATGGCGGTGGGTCGCTGCCGGCCGGGACTGGTGTCATAGTCGGGCTTTAGATTCGAGCTTGCTCGTCTTCGGCTGCACCGGCCTGCTGTTGCGGCTGTTTGGTCAGTGATCTGCCGTCAGAAGCGGTCGCCGGAAACTTGAACGAAGCAGGGAGCGGCTTGCAGGAATGGCCGCTGTAAAACCCAGAACCGCTGACCCGTCGCTGGTGGAAGGATCTCCGTCTGGGTCGGGTCGTAATTGGAGCACTGTTGGCCGGCGAAGCTGGTATCGCCGACCGCAGGGACAGCGACGCCCTCGACCGCCGTCAAATCTGGAGCTGTTACCAAATTCGAAGTTGCTGCCGTTGAACCCCATTGGTCGTTGCGTCCGTACGGTCTACGCCGGTGGATCGTTGCCGGCCAAAGCAAGAGGCGAATCTGTAGCAGATCTACGGTGAGGCTCTCCCGTCATAGCCGGCGGTGGTCTTCCGTGTGCCAGTGACAGATCTGGTCGGCGATGGTGGGGAATTCAAGACCAACGACAGAATCCCACCACCAAGATTTGGAAGAGCCACTCTGTTAGTTTGATTTTTTTTGGAGCACGCTTGATGTGTCCGACACTCTCAACGAGAGCACCAATGTTGGGTTAGTCCAGAGTGCACAAAATATGGGGTCAAGTAAATTGAGGATAATATTGTGCTAGTAAGAGTATCACTTAGAACGTAAGTCCCGAGCGTGTGGAATGAGCTCCTCCTTTTCTTTCCCTCTTCCAAAAAGAGGGGTATATATAATGGGAGAGTGAAGGCTAGGGTTTACATACAAAAACCAATGGGCCGGCCCATCAGGCTGGGCCGCCCTAAATAAGGAATTAATAAACGACTAACGGGCTGATCGCACAAATTGGACCGCCCCGACTAATATTATACAAAGACCGGGTACCCCTGTCCAGGGTATCCATCACACATATGCAGAAAACGTAATACTTCAAGTCAAAGGATAGTTACACCCGTGGTCGCGCTAAAGATGCTTAGAGCATGAACTAAAAGTTCAAGCAACATCTTTAGGATGGGTCAGTCCGGCATCCTATTATCTCTAGATAATATCTGCCCATGTGCGGATGCGAACACACCTTCATTGACTATGAGACTAAGTCAAACATCCAACACACACTAGTCTCACATGCACTAACGATATCCCACTCGTTAATACTCGACTATTGACATTTATTAGATAAATATTTATTTCAAGATGTTAGTCTCATCAGCAGAATAACACTAACTGATAAACATCTTTTAAATATAAATCTAGGAATATAATATTTGTTTACATTAGCATGAGATGTGTAAACATATTATATCTGCCTATACATGATAGGATAACGATAAACAGTTGGCCATCAGGGCACAACTCCAACAGAGTGAAACCCATGATGGAGCCATTTTTTGAAGTTATGAATTGTGTTTTCTTCTCCAGAAGATTGGCAAAGATAGGTATATATATATATATATATATATATATATATATATATATATATATATATATATACCTATCTTTGCCAATCTTCTGGAAAAGAAAACACAATTCATAACTTCGAAAAATGGTTCCATCATGGGTTTCACTCAACATACTTCATCTGGCGCGCCATGACGATGTTGTCAAATTAAGACTCTTAAGTCATTACGATCTTAAGCCAAGAAAGATTAGTGAGAACACAATTTATATATGCCCATGAAGCTATATTCCAAGATGACGAGGTTTAATTTGCAAAACACTTTTTTATCACATTATTAATATTGTTCTCTCACTCTCTGTTTCACATTCTGTTTTTTTTCACATTCTTTTCATGCAAGACTCATTTTAAATTTTCCTATATATACATACATACACACACACACACACACACATAGATTTTGGTTCTGGTGAGAATGCAATCTTAGGAGAGAAATGAGAATGAATCTGATGCTTTAGATTTTGAGATCTAAGGGTCAAGATTTCATCAAAATTAGATGCACCAAAATGGTGCGAAAATGCATCACGTCGAAATGCACCATAAACCTTCGAAAATGCACAATCTCAAAATCTGAGCGCAGGATGCAATCTGAGCCGCACGATGCATTAGATCCGATGGCTAGATTTTATTCTCATTTCTCTCCACAAGGTGCATTCTCACGGGAACCGGCCCCTATATATATATATATATATATATATATATATATATATATATATATATATATATATATATATATATATATATATATATATATATATATATATATATATATATATATATATATATATATAG